AGTGACCATTTTATTGTCCCGTAATGAAGAGGTAGTCATTAGCTCTTTTTTTTAAAGACTTTGGCGGGTGGTCGGTAAGTTAAGCGCAGGCTATTAAAAAAAAAAAAACTTGGTGCTAATACCGAATTTGCACTGTGGAGACAAAAACTACCTCTCATAGATTCTTATAGTTAAAGTTTTTTAAAGTACAATCTCCATAAATAGTAGTATAGTGCTAGTACTATTTATATTAGCGCGCCTCTCCCTTGTCTACTAAAATATTGCTATAATGGACTAATCATAATAGTTAAAAACTTTGAACTGCATTTTTTACAAAGATTATAAAGGCTACAGATATTAATGCTTAAATTATTAACTCCGACTTTGGGAGAAAAAATAAATAAAAAATGAAATAAAAAGTGGATAATCATATATTTAAATATAAAGAAAATGTAACATAAACAGTTAACTAACCAAGAAGACAAAAAACGCAGAGTTGTGTCTCTTACTCACTTTGATTTTCTTTCTTATTCTCATCTTCTCTATTGAAGGCATGTCATTTTCGAACACTCATCCTTGTGATATGTTTAAACACCTTAATTCTTTAAAAGAAAGAGCACAAGCTATACTGATCATTGTGGTTATTGATTCCAAGCTCAAAAAGACGCGCAGAGCATTCCACTCTATTGAGGTAGTAGATTGAAGCAAGGATGACAGAGATTTGTAGTAAAAAGAAAAAAAGGCAGCACCATTGAACATGCCATACAGCAGACATAAATAAATAATTTTCTCAGGATTTCTTTTAAAAGGAAAGGTCTAGTAGATATTAGATTTAAGAAGCTGTGGACACAGTTTCGTGCCACCAGTTGACCCTGCAAGGCAATCAATATAAATTTTAATAATAAAAAATAAATTCCCTACAAAGTTAAAATAAATAAAGACAATAACTGCCAACTCTATGAGCTTTTCTTACAACAGAATTTAGTTGACACCGAACTTGAGTGGTACATTTTAATTGATCCCGTGTGTTTAATTTAATTTTGTTTAAGTATATATATATAATTTTACGATTAATAAAGCAGAGGATTTTCCTCTTTTAGCCCTTTTTTTGCATATAGTTGTGCGCGGGGTATTTTGCCTTGCTTGTTTATTATTTACAGCCTGGCAATTCAAAGAAGGATCGCATAGGTTCAGTTTAAGGTAAAACCTCGTAAATACTGCTCTTGAGAAGGGCCTTGTGGACAGACTTTAGATAAAACCCCATTAATATTTCAACATTAATTTCGATTGGAATTAATATAGACTTCACAGTTAAATGGCTCTAGCCCCGAAGGACTAAAGATATTTTCGGCTTCATAAGCAAAGTGATCTGTTTGAGTGACGGCTTACAAATGCCTATTAAAAAATATAACTAATAAAAATAAGCAATTAAAAAAAAAAGTTATAATTAAAATTAAAACAGAATTGAAACTTAAAAAAAAAAAAGTTAAAGTAAATTTATGTTTTTACATAAAAATTTGCTCGATAGCTAGCTTTCTATTAATTATACTATATACATATTTTTTTAATAAATATTATTACATTTTTTCTTTTCCCTTAATCATACTTTTCCATGTAATATATTTATATATATTACAATTTTATAATGTTGTTATTATTAAACTTAATTTTGATATTTATATTTTTTTTCTTTTGTTAAGATTAACTTTTTATAAGCACGCGTGGCGGTCGCACGTAAATATTTTATAGCGAATCGAACTTTTTTATCGTTTACTTTGCGCCAGAAGCGAACCATGATACCACGCTAGTTGCGTTAGTAAAGCCGGCCAATCATAAATATGCGTTTGCTGTCTAAGCCAATAGTAGCCTCTTCGCTATACATGAGTTAAAACAAGCTTGCTCCGCCCAATGACAGAGGCGCCGTGAATTAGTTGAAAGGATGCCTTACGTCATTGCTATATAATTTATGAACGGCTTATTGCCTCCGTGCACCAATTAAAAACTCGCAAAAAAAAGCTAATGTCCCAATTATTAGCCAGCGCTCGTTAGCGCCCACCGCTCAGTAGGCGCCTAGAGCTGGTGTACGTATAATAAGGGAGGGCGAGAGGTAACAAGGTACGTATTAATATTTATAAATTAAATTAAGATATGTTATATAATTTTGTTATTAAAATTTATATAAAAAAGATAATAATATATTAATATCTAGCATTTTTATCTCATATTGAAAGGAATGATTAAGTAGTTTGGGTATGAACACTATTTTACCCCTCCAAAAAGCATGTATAGGAGAATGGGAAACTTCCTTTCTCGATGCTCGCGCATGTGCCAGCGTTTTATCTTTTTAAATACCCTCAACGCTTGTCTTGCGGGAACATCCTTCATTGCCATGTGGTCACAGCGATCTAGCATACTTGGTCATCATCTAAGGTTAGGTAGGTCGAACGACCAGTGTTATACCTCAGCTTAGGTGGTTGGGCTCTGCGTAGAAGAACTAACTCTTGGCTATCCTCGGCGCTTTCCTGTACCCCCTAGTTGTAAAGATGATAAGTAGTTTCTACCTCTTTCTATTGTATTGTATTTTATTGTATTCTATCTTAGTTAAAGTTGTGAAGCAAGTTGTTTCACCTTGGAGCCTCAACCCTAACACAGGGAGCCAAGATAAGGTTATAAATATTGCTTACCAAGGCTTGTTTAAAACAGAGCTTCGGTGTATTAGCTTAGAATGAGATATAAAGCTTAACTTACAAAGAATGTACTATACATGACGAAAGTCTCAAGATATGACTAACGGTCCAAGGTCCGTGACAGAACACGTTCCTAATACTCCCATTGCGAGCCCAACCTACGCAGGCGCCCCGGTTAACAACTATATAAAGCATGGTCTTACCAGCTGGGATCACAGTCAAGTATCAGTTGCGTCACAAGCTCGTGCACCGGTAAAGCGCACGAGAGAAAGTGCGCAACAAAGAGCAAGTTAATTAACTTGCTCTCTTAATACGGTGTTTTTAAGCATCTAAGTGTTGTACACTCTCTTAGTAAAGTAACGATTCAACACAACAACGGCATAGGTTACTATCTTTTAAGCGACCCGAAGAAGGTCGGCCCTAAGGTGAAATTCGTCGTTGCACTCTACCTATAGGATCCGCGATTTGACTTCAAAACTTCACCCGATGATGTACGTGTCGGACGCCATCCAAGGGTACACGGCAAGTGAAATGTAGTCACTATATTGAAGGATGCTGGATAACTATTTCGAACTTCTTGACTTGACTTGAGCTGAAATTATACAGTAGGCTCTCGTAATTAATAATTCTATCTCTTCAACTAAATGTTCGGAACACAGTCCACAAGAACATGGTGATCGTGCTTGTAAGAGAAAGTGATCAGAGTTACCGTGCACTTTGATAAGTCCTAGGAGAGAATGGTCTAGTCTAACAGTCAAAAGTCCTGGATCAATAGATTACTCTTGAAAATGAGAAAACTAACAAGTCACTTGAGATCCTTAAAAAAGGTCCCATCCTTTTGAGTTCATTAAGAATTATGACGAACCGTGTTAGGCTAGAAATGGTTTACAGCTTAGCTGTTAGCTTACGAATATTCTCTCGATAATCAGCTCGATGTTGATATACTAGAATTATTGCCTACTGAACCGTTTTTTTCTTAAGCAAAGGTGTAGGTAGGTCCTTCGACTTTGCGTAATTTAAGGCTAAGTAGTAGCAATGCCTGCACCTGGAGTGAATAGGTGCGTCTGAAAGCCTGTGGTGTTTTCTTGGACTATATCTTTGTTTTTTACCGTTCGGAACTCTGAAGGTTGCTGTCATGGGTATTATAGATAACACTATTTGCATCGATTCTAGATGCTTTAGGATTAGCTTGATTTCGGTTTTGAAATAGCACTCAATCCTTTTATCACGCTAAAAATTGCTTTAGTCCAGCAAAGTGAGATGTTTATTAACTAAATCATAACATTTTTAATTAGATTGGCTCGGTTTGACTTACTTTGTGCTACATCGAGCGGAATACTTGTATAGCTTGTTGTGGTGCGCTAAAGAGTGCTTACTTCTTTTAAACGTTAGCATCCTAGAATAGCATTAGGAACTTACAGTATACGAATAGTATTATTTACTAGTGTATACTATTTTAAACGTGAACGATCCCGACCTAATATGCCTCTGCGAAACCACTCAGTCATTTGGGCAGTTCACGACAACCCTACGGGAGAAGGGACTGGAGAACAATAATTCCTTAACCTCCAAGGAGATGAAGTTAAAATCGAATCGTTTAAAGTGCTTTTAAATTTTGAGAGTAGCATACCAGTGTTAAAAAAAAGATAAAACATCCTTGAAAGGTCATACCGTCAAGGGTCCACCGACCTTATGTTTTATAAGGATAATGGTTTCGTTTTTTTAAAAGTAAAGTTTATTAGTTCAAAACATAACCCTTAACCTAACACATGGTAAAATACGAAACCCGGCCTTTAATTACTAAAATGGCCACCTTAAGCCGCTTCGAAAAAGTTATTTGCTTATCAACACTACAACTTGTGACTTTCATACTACCCTGTAAAGCTATGGCCAGGGTATTCGTAAAATTTTGAAGTAGCCTTAAGCTCGGGAACATAGAATAAGTGATGCCTGGCAAGAAGGATTAATATAAGTATGTTTTGCCGAACGACTAGAACAAGATTAATTAAAAATAACCTTTTCAATTAGTACTGTATTAGAATTAAACGTGAGTCAAATTACTAATATTTTATAAGTTGTGCTAATGTAGTCGATAATAAAACTAATATAAAAGGTTATTTCTATATTAATACTTAAAAAAGAATAAATTATATTAAATAAGAAAGCTTGTACTGATTAAGTATAAAGTAAGGGAGCTGTTTATGAACTGTCAGTATTTATTCTTCTTGTAGTCGGTAGTGCATAGAGCATTAAAAAGTTTATCACCAACAAGAATTTTTCCTTATAAGTACATTGGTCGTGGTAAAATAAAGCTTATTTTAATAATGCATACGCGAGTCACAAAGGACAGTATGATCGAGAGTAACTTTACTATAACAATTAAATTCTTTAAGTAAATCTAAATTTTATCAAGCAATTGCTTACATTTGCTTGAAAGATTCATTAAATGTGTCAAGTCCAATTTCTCTGATATTATTAACCCGCAGATCTCTGTTACATTAGCGTCAACTTTTAAAAAAGTCAAACACAGAGTAACTATTCACAATAATAAATATTATTATTAATAATAGTTTACATATAAGTCACTGCGTTAAGTTTCTTTGAAGTGGTTAGAACAAAATGGATCTGAGTTTTAGCAAAATCTTTGTACGCCATGTACCAAAATAAAAAAAATAGTAAATTCAATTTATGCAACAGAAACTTTTTTGTACAATTTTTAAAATATAAAATTTTTAAGTGACGAAAAGAAATTTATTTTGTAGGAGTTGTATACCCGGGCTGTGTGTTTAGGGTTATTGTTCTGCATAAAGGTAACATATTACCGAATAATCGCACTTCCATGCTCACCGCATTAGTTTTCAGATTTGAAAATAATTTTTTTTGCGCTTGATCCCAATAATTTTGTCCAAATCTTTGAAGCAGGCAAAAGAGAAACAACCCCAAACAAACACGGAGTTTAACCCTCATTACTTATTTGCCGTCCTCGGGTTAAAAGTAATCAGTTTAATGTAAACTCCTTTAGGTCTTGGTGTTATAGATTCAAGTTTTATATTGCTTGATAAGTATCTTAGCCTTAATAGGAGTTAGCCTAGGGATAAGGCACTAGTTTTTGGAGGTATTTAAAAAATTCGAGTCTTTTTCTCCTAATAGTTTTCATAGTAGCATTACGCACGATTTCAAAGCCTACATAACAAGCTAATTAACCTTTATAGAAGGTTAGTTAGTCCTTCAATTGTATAATGGTATTATCTTTGTTCATAACAAAATAATTTGAGGTTCAACTCCTTGAAATAAACTTCTTGTGTAGTTAAGTGTTATAACATTACTCCTTCA